GACAAAATGGACAACTTGGCGTATATGTAAACGTCTATAGGGACACAATGTGATAACAGACACAAGCTACAAAGGTGAGAAACCCTTCACCTAAATAAGAGTCCTCCACGGAGATGATTTCTAACCCCTCCCTTTCCCCACCGCTCCACGTCTCCTATTCAGTCTGGACAGGAGGAAGTTTGGGAACCTCTGTTGGCCAGCTGTCAAGGGAAGGCCTCTGTCACTGCAGCTTTTTCCCTCCCAGGCTCGCCCAGGCCCAAGTCATCCACTCTGAGCTGCTTGTATTCAGCCACCCACTCATGTTTCCTGGACCCCCAACACTTGAGCACAATATGTAATCTAGTGTTTCTTCCACTGTGGTTCGCTCTGCACTGAACGCTATTTTCAATACATCCAAAATTACACTTGTATTGTTACAACACCATTAAACAGTAACAACGCGATGCTGTGCCAACACTATAAAGCCTATAAAAACAGTTCAGGTTGAGCAGCTTATGAGGAGGAACTGGTGCGAGACAGCGCTGACCTGATGACTTATCCTTGGCCAAATCGCCGAAAATCACTGCACTCTGCAAGGGTCTAAAACTTTCACTTGGAATTAAACCGCAAATTGTAAATATACGAGACAAAACCGCGGCGGCAAAATCTAAATGTTTACACTTACGACACATTAGTTCATACCTTGTATGTATCTGACGTGAAACAATACAAAATACACTTCCTGTAATCCCTGAACGTGCAGTTTTCCCTTTTATTTAACCACAAGTAGCTTTGAAGCTGCTGTAATCATTATTTTTATTTTGGGAATGGATCAAAATGATTAGGGCTCACCCTGTAGTTTCTCCTCTTCTCTATGGTGTTTTTTGGTGCTTTTCAGCTACCTTTTGGTTTTGGTTTCGCAGCCATTTGAGAACGTTTCCAGTGAAAAAAAAACACACTGAAAAGTCCCTAAAAACTCCATCAAAAAGAATATAGTTAAAGTAGTGACCAGCTGGAGATCATAGATGAGCATTTAGCAGCTTAAAAGACGGACATTATTCAAAGAATGTACACACAACTCCAAATAAATGTGAATGGTGCTGCATATCTGTTGGATGTGTGGTGCAAATAGGAAACTCTTTGCTAACAAGTTTGCCACATCCACTTAAATGAAGTCAAATATGTGGTTTACGGCCTTTTATGGTGCCTAAAGGCAGCAATTACGGCAGGTTTAAGGGTGGTTATTTCATACAGTCTGACAGCCTCATACTGTATACATTCTGCATCTGCTTCTTCTAACTTGTAATTTAATCCCTACAATGTTTACACAGCCCTTGTAATGTGCATTTCCTCAAAATTCAGTCTGACTTCATGGGTATCATGTTGTTAACAGAGGTCTAACTAACATCGTGTATAAGATGATGGGATTTGCATAATATTTTAAATCATGCAGGTTGTTTTTATATGTTTGCTAGCTTGAAGTCTTTTTTTACTGCCTTTGTTGGTGCAATGGTACATTTGTTGAGGCTTTATGAGCTGCCGGCTTGTGCGCCGTCAAACAAACAAAAGAGAGACCCATCAGTGCTACTGGTGGCCAAAACCTCCAAGGGGTACCTTGAAGTTCGGTGGGTTTGTAATCACCTGACCTTCTGACAGCGGCTTTTAAGGCAATTTGGTTTCATGCATTTCTTGAAAAGGGTTCACGGTAACCCACGGCGAGATATCATTTCATGTGTTTCATGTGTTTGTCGAATGATGTTTCAAGCGGCAACAGCGCAGCCAAATGCACATATGTTGTTGTTAATTAGTGCAAAGTCCCGACTCCAGCTGTGCCACTGAGAATTCCCATCTCTCCGAGCGCTGATAGACGAAGCACAGCCTGCTCCTGTATGTGAGACACCACCTCTGTCCCTCGCACTGCGTCTCCCTACATCTGCTTTGTATTAGCTTGTTGCCATGCAGGAAAAAACACAATTCTTTTTGTAGTCTATTCCAGCCAATCAGGAAGTGAATTGGGGGTAGTTTCCTGTTTCCTGTGTTCCCCAGACAGTGCGGACTCGGGCCCAGTAGCCCCGTTCAGTTTCCGACATTCATGTGTTCGTCCAGGAAGCCGAGAAGAGTCATCACCTGGCAGAGCGTTGCGATAATAAGTCCTCTCTCTTTCTCGCTCTTTTTCTCGAATCCAAATATGTGACAGATTTTTAGCTCTGAGTCATCAGCCAACCGCAGTCTCATGCCAAAGGACAAGACTTTGATGAAAACAATGTGATGCAAGCATTGCACAGACATTATTGCGAGCAGAGCACCATGGGGATCAGACTGACAGCGAGTACGACTGCTGCTAGGTAACAGTGCAGCATACAGAAAGTGAGGAAACTCAGAGTCTTGGAAGTGATGGCAACAGAAATGTTCTTAGTAGTCATGACGTACCGATAAGACTTATTTTTCCAGGTAACGTAAAGGCATTGTCCATGTGGAGGAATGCAACGTTTACTCAACTAGAAACTTCTGTTATTCATATTTCAACTTCAGACTTCTGCTTTATGACATTTCAGAGGCTGAGATTGTACATTTCAGTCCTCCACTACAACTTCAATGGGTTAGTCTTTCACTTACTCATTTCAGACACACTAAATTCTACAACAATCAGTTTGACATCTAACCAGAAGGGTAAAACAGCGTGAGTGCAAAATGCAATGAATTATATACATGTAAACATTGGGAGGGTTTCGCAATAAATCAATGACTATTATAACGTACAACGATAAAAAAAAACGGAAGAATGTCAAGTCAGACATTTTCAGATGCCTCATTTTGTCCAATCAACAGTCAAAAACCCAAAGCTATTCAGTGTATAACACCATCAAACAAATATAAATAGAAAATGTTCATATTTGAGAGGATGAAAACAGCATTTTCGCTAAAAGAAAAAAAAAGACTTCTTAAATGAATGGACTGTGATAATAGTTGCAGATTATTTTTTATTGCTCAAGCTAATGTTGCATCTTTGCTTGTTACTGTACAAAATAACATTTTATACCCAATAAAGACAGAGAACAGAGCATATACGAACCCTGACCAACTAAAAGTAAAACACTGCTTACCCATTATTATACTAATAATAATTCAGTAACGCAATGTAATATAATTGTGACTAGCACTGACTTTGGATACTTTTCTGTCGTGTTATGTAACATTTCAGTACATTACAATGAGGTAGTGCTACAGCATCTCGGAAAGACGGTCCTCCAGTCATTCAACCTTTATTCACATGAACTCAGATCTGCTGGCTGACTGAACGTTCATTCAGAAAGGGCAGCAAACTAATGAGGCCTTTGTGATTTAAACATTACAACCGTCCCTGGAGTCTCAGCATATTATCCGACTGCATGAGGCCGGACTATTTGATAAACTCTACTTGGGTCGGCTCAAGCTGACTCTGCAGCCAATTCCAACAGCAGGTGAGAGGAGCTTAAAAATACAACCTCACTTAGGAGATCAGCTCGCCCTGGGGAAAAAAAAACTGTGGCGACTGCAGTGTTTTACTGTCCAATGCTGAATGGCATCAACATGCAGCCCTACAGCTTCTACGTGTGTTTGTTGTCATGTTTTTTTTTTCCTCTGCTCATCCTTTCTGTCGCATGTTTGGAGTCAAAACAAACCACACAGCACAGCCAGAATGAACTGGGTGCCAGATGTCAGTGAAAAGGAAGGGAGACAGTTCCAAATGTGCCATATTGACCCGAGATAGCAGTTGGAGCACACAGAGGAAGCGATTGTCTGCTCCGAATGGTTTGAAGGGAAAAAAAATAAAAAATACAAACACGTTGTCAAACAGGTCAGACTGCAGCATTTTAGACATTCACACTGATTACACTTGAAACAGATTTCATCTGCACTTTTGATAATCGGTGGAATCTCCACATGATTCTTTGACTTCTCGGGAAGAATCGTAAGCTTTAGTTGATTCTATATGAATAAAAAATGAAAAACAAACTACTCAGAGTTGTCACTGGGAAGCCGTGATTGATATCTTTTTTGTGACTTTTGTCCACCAAATTGATTATCAGACAAGAAAACAATGTGAAGATAGATCAATAATGAAAATAATGTACATGGCAAGAGCAACTGTGTCACTAAAAAGCACTACTATCCTGTCCTGTCCTCTTTTTACTATAGAAGTATATGTACAGTTAGATGCAGTTACCATTATGTAATGAAAACAATCTTACATGAATGAGATTAAAAGGTGAATTAACTTCTTGCACAGGCATAAGAATTTCTGAATTACATTGTTTTAAAAAAAACAAAAAAAACAATGTCCCCTCCAGCAAGGCCTTGCAAACTGTACTCAGCCTCCTCATGGCTCCATTCACAAGACATGCATGCACGACATGCCTCCTACAAACCAGGGGTACCCACTGGAGACTGGAGCTACACATCTAAATATAGAAATCTGGGCTAACAATCAATAGCTAGACAGTCATGCATGAAGCTTTTTTGGAGGAGGTGGGGTAAGAGGAGGGGTAGTACAGAGGGAGAAAAGAGGGGGGGGGGGGGGGGTGCAATAACATGCTGCAGTTAAGGTGCAATAAAGGTTTATGTAGAGAAAAAAGCATCTGGATATGTGCAGATGTGGAGCCTTTATACCGCACAACAGCCTGCTAGGACTCAGTCTGCATGTGTAGACCTCTAAAAACACATGATCTGGATCCGATTGCCAGCTGCCAAATTCCCACAATCTCCACACAAGGCTTTGAATCTCTCGATTTCTGTGCCCCCCGTATTTTTTTTGTTTTGTTTAGTTTTGTTTTTGTAATTTGCGGTCTGAATCTGTGCGCTGAGAGGGAAGCGTGTGATTTGAATTACAATAATAAGGCAGAACAACACAGCTCTGGGTGCCTCCAGCCTCCTGCCCCTACACTTGCATGCCTGCTTTGCCCGTTAACATGGAGCCATCCATTGAGGCGCTCACACTTAAGGGGGGGTAGGGATTTTTTTTTTTTCTTTTTTTCTCTTACCTATTTTTATTTTAACGCTCTGGAAAACCCGGAGACCTTCCTCTTCTACCGCCATGCTTTCACTGCGGCTCTTTCTCTTGTGGCGACTAAATGAAGACGCTCCCCCACGGTGGTCGGTTCTGGCCTCTCCAGCGCACGGATATTCCAGGGGTTTTGCACATCTAGGCTCTCGCGACCACTGCTGCTGCTGGCTGGTTGAGATCAAGCGAGCGGATTCAGTTTCAGTCCCGCAGCGGCAGCAGCAGCGCCAGTGGAGGTGTGGCTCCGAGCAACACCGCCCACACCGGGGTATGGAGTGTGATCCGTGCCCTGATCGGGGCCCCGGGCATGGAGGAGGAGGTACCATTGAAGAAACTGCACTGCAGACAGACTGTAATAATGATTAAAAAAAAAAAAAAAAGTTAAATGATTGCACTGTACACACACTCAAGTGTCTTAAGTGACTTTGGAGGGGGGCGCATTATCATCACAATTATTTATTTATTTATTTTTTGCTTATGTAAAAAAATGTGCAATATTTATACTTGTGTCAATATTTCCATTCATGAAAGAATCTGTGCAATGCCACTGGCATGTGCAATACTGTGTTTTCTACAATAAGTACTAATGTGTATCTTGGTTTATTGTTATTTTTTACATTTGTGGTACATTTAACATCTAACCCTTACCCTAAATGTTTGCACTATCTTTGCTGCTTTAACTTTGCAAACAGGGCAAAAACAAACAAAAAATAGACCAGTAGAAGGCGGCTCAGTCAACACAGAAGGAGAAAGAGCTGGGAGACAAAAGTGGAGAAATAAAGCTAAACATAGTAAAAAGATTATTCAAAGTAAATTAGTACAGCAATAGACTGTTGCTGCCATGCTGCACCACAGAGCAACACAGGAAATCATTCCTGCCTATTGCAATCAAACTGATAAATTCCACACTTTAAATATGATACTGGACACGTTTTTTTTTGCACAAATCTTCAAACAATCTGCACCTTAACTGTATATCTGTGTAAATATGTTTTTTTTGGAAGTTGATATTTTTTGTACTTTGACATTTATTTATTTTATATTACCTTTTATGTATCTTTTTATTCTTTATTTTTTATTTTACTCTTATTATATTTCTATCTTTATTCTTGGGCGGTAAACGTGCATGTAACGAAAAAGAATTTACCCTCGGGGATAAATAAAGTATTTCTGATTCTGATTCAGCTCACCTTGTACGTATTCATATGTAAATTTACTATGTCATATATGTACATATCCATGTCGATTCATCATGCATGGTGTATTGTCTCTCTGAGACTTTTACTATTATATTTTTATTTTATAAGGCTTACTGTACTTTTTGTAATTCTTGTCCTGCTTCTTTTTTGTCTTATCTGTATACTGGTGCTGAAACATGTGAATTTCCCTGGTGAGGGATCAATAAAGTCTATCTTAGCACCGGCTTAAATAATTAAACATGCAAGTAAGGGAAACAACAAAGGGAATAATAATAAATTAAAAAAAGAGGATAAAGCCATAAACACAAGGCTAAATATAATAATAATAGTAAATAAGTAAAATAAATAAGTAAATAAATAAAGGGTAGAAGAGAATGAAAATGAACAATAAAATAAATGCAGTAAAAAAAAAATCTAAATCAAAATATCAAAATGACAACAAATAAATAAATACAGGGTGAGTCAGAGCAGAACTACGAAGAAAGTTTGGCCCAACTTTGTCTCCTTAAAATTTTGTTCCTACACTACTCAACTGCATTCTTAACTACATTTTGAAGAGGAAAAAAATTTGTTTTAAAATAATTTGTGATCTGGTGGGAAAGGCACCCAGTTTGAAAGAGTGACAAAGTTTGCATTAGGAGGATAAAGGTGGTGGCAAGAGCTGAAATCAGTCACTCATTCCCTACTCCCTACTTCCTATATAGAGACTAATAAATAGTGAACTAAACAGGGAGCTCCTATATAAAAGTAACACTTTCAGACGCTACTCGAGTCTTGCCGTTATTAATTACTTCACTGCTGACGCTGAATTAAAACATATCAGAGCGTTTGTGGTTGTGGGAGTGAACAGACTGGCATTGTTGTGCTAAATTTATATTATAGTAAACGTACTTTCCAACATTAACAAAGGAAAATAATTTTTTTCTTTGTTTGTGTTGTCAAGCATAGCTTTGGTTCCATTAAGCATACTAATACAAATTCTTATTATTAATTTTAACAGGCTCTCTCGTCCGTCTGCCATTCTCCTTCACTGCAATGCATGACATATTGATTAGTTAGTGGCCAACTAACTTGCATTGTGGGATATTTTGAGTGCGCTATATAGGGTGTAACAATTCTAACTTAACATTAGGACAGCACTACAAAATGGAGAACAAACGATATAGTGAGTAGTGACTGATTTCAGACACAGCTCAAGGGTTTTCATCCCGTCTCAGGATTAAGTTTTCTTTTTAGTTGCTGTTTACTTTTCCCTCGCATTGCGGTTAGTCTGAGCCACAAAAATGATGTAGTTACTTTGACTAGGTGTGTGAACTAGAAGCCGGACTTTCTCTCTAAAGACCAGGGTTCATGTTCCTTCTCAGAATTAAGTTTTGTTTTCTGTCACTGCTTACTTTTCGTATCTTTTCTGATTCTGCACCCTTCATCAGACACTTTTATATGTGAGAAGCTTAGCTACACACAGAAATTATTTGGTTAGGTTAAAGAAAAATGTTTTGGTTAAAATAAAACCCTTTCACTCCATGTTTGAAGCTTCTCCTCCATTTTCTGGGTTATCAAGACCCGCCCCGTCTCATACATGATGTTTGGCTAAAAGGAGCAGCAGTGAAGCATTAAAATGCATGGCAAAAATATGCTGATCAGAAAAGTAATTTGGATAAGTTACAAACAGTCAAACAGAAAGTATGTTTTCCTCAAAATATAATTGAGTTTGGAATAGCCAGGCATTCTTTGCATAAGCTTGACTTGACAAAACCTAAACCCTAAACTCAATGTAATGGGTATCACAACAGTGGATGTCAACATAACCCAGGTTTCCTTCATGACGCTCTATGTGTGCTCCAGTAAAAAGGGGTGTTTGCCGTGTAAATGGAGCGATAGCATGCTGCCTGCTTCAGTCAAGTGGAACAGGTTGTTATGCAATGGAGAGCTATGTTGAATATAAACAGTTATTACGGTAAAAAGCCCTGTTACTACAAATAATGCATGAAAGAAATGCTGGTAGGAAACTGTTAATTACTTAGGTTAATATATTAATTTTCCCACTCAGTGCACTCTCATTGCCTGCTGCTTATTTCTAACATGACAGCTGCTCATTAGAACTGTTAAACGTCATACATTTGAACATGATGACACAGAATTACATTGAGGTCTGACACTGTTCCATAACAAATACATGGGAGTCAGTATAGTTTTTGGCCAAATTAACATTAAAAAAAAAAAAAAAAGTTTGATAAATAGCAGTAGACTAAAACAGTTTTAAATCTGTGATCTATTAACTGCAATAGCAGCAGTGTAAAACAGACTTGGCAGCAAATCAGATCTAAACACAAAAGCATGTTTATGTATTTTCTTCATTATCAGTTCAATGCATGTAAGTTACCATGGCAATGCAGAACAGACTTGGAAAAGAGGTGGTGAATAGGTGGTGCTTCTCATAATTTAAATCCTTAACTAAATTTCAATCTTAAATTCTGTACAGAACCTCCTCAGCAGGAGCAGGCTAGATGTTTTGCATAAATTCTCAATAATGATCTAGCACAGGGGTGTCCAATCCTGGTCCTCGAGGGCCACAGACCTGCATGTTTTAGATGTTTCCTTCTTCCAACACACCTGATTCAAATGATCAGGCTCGTTATCAGGATTCTGCAGAGCTTGATGATGAGCTGATCATTTGAATCAGGTGTGTTGGAAGAGAGAAACATCTAAAACAGGGGTGTCGAACTGCGGTCCTCGAGGGCCGCAATCCTGCATGTTTTAGATGTTTCCCTCTTCCAACACACCTGAAGTCAGAAGTCTGATAACGATCCTGATCATGTGAATCAGGTGTGTTGGAAGAAGGACACATTTAAAACATGCAGGATTGCGGCCCTCGAGGACCGGATGTCAACACCCCTGATCTAAAACATGCAGGACTGCGACCCTTGAGGACCAGGATTGGACACCCCTGATCTAGTAGGTAAAAAGATCGAGACCTTTGTGACACTGAAAACTCTAAATATACCACATTATGTGATGACAAGCCGGATGGAAGGAGGAGGGACACATTGGTGAATAGTGGAAAAGGTGGTTTTTATTACAAAAACAGGGAGGGAGAGTGACGGGTGAGCCCAGAGGCAGGGGGGTGATCCAGAGGGGAAGGTTGGTGCAGGAGATGCCGCAGGGAGTAGGTGCAGGTGCTCGGGACGCAGACGCTGTAGCCAGGTGAGGGAGGGGATCCGAGGGATCAGTGCTGCGGCTCGTGAGGGGAAGGACGACTGTGCTCGGAGTGGTGCACTGCTGCTGAGCGGGTGGAACTTGTGACAGGAATCCAGTGGAGGTGATAGCTGGAGAGATGGAGGAAAACACATGATTGGGACTGCGCTTGCACAGAAAAACTCGAGACTACAAAACTCTAGTACACGACTGAGAGCTGGCCTAGACACCCCGTGAGAGGAGTTCAATCTTCTGGCACTGGGAAGCAGGAGACGCCAGGCTTTAACCAGTGCTTGATTGCCAATTGGCCGCAGGTGCGTAATCACCTCCACTGGTCGGAGCTCACTCAGCCTGCAAACACAAAGCACACAACACCTACACCAAGCACAGCCGGAAGTGACATATAAAATAATAGTGTTCCAACCAGGAACACCATACACTAACCTATTAATATTGCTTTGTAGTACACCCCTCTGGATTATTTCAACCTAGTGAATTTCCTAATAATGTGGCTTCTGTGATTTCAAGGGGGATGCTGACTTTGTATTCTTCATCTTCATTGTAGTAATTTAGTGAAACTAGGACTTGTACAAAACAGTGTATGAACAGCATAAACTGTGGAAACTGTTATGAGCTCCCAGTAACTTTTTAAAAAACTTGACTTTTACTGATGAAACCATGGATTCAATCTAGGGATCGAACAATAATAAGCCGCGTTAGTCATCAAATCAGATTCTCAGCATTCTTCAGATCATTTTTTATTTTAAATTATTATTACAAACTGTTTCCTGATAAAACGAAG